GCCCCCCCCCTATTCCGGGGCCTGGCGCTAATTGCCAGGGGAGTAGAGTTAGTGGTAGGCTACAGACGAGCATTTTATCAACGTTAATTTCCGGGTTCGGTTTAGGGTTAAAGCAACGTTGCACGTTGCATTTGTTACGCAAATGCACGTGCAATTATACATTCCCACGTATTACCGACATTCCCACCGCGTGACTGAATATCCTCGAAGTCTGCAGACTGGTGTGAGTTCGCGGCTCAGTGATAAACTGAATCCTCAGACAATAGCCAAAACGGGTTTCTGCTCTTGTTTGTGAGGATGAATCCGCGACGGATTTCTAAACGGCATGCAAGTAAAATTCTTGTCACATCTGCTTCTACTCAAATTGAATTCTGAAAGGAAACGCCAGGTCCTTCCATGCTAGCGTTGAAACCATGCCAGCGTGCCACCCACCACCCCACAATCACAAACGCGGGGGACTCTGGGCAAGAGAACATAAAATGATCTTTGGTGGATGGACCTTCACCGATGGGTTACGGAACTCACTTGTCCCATTCGGCCCTGGGGCTCATTCCACCCACCCTTTTCGTTGTACTTGCTTGTTTAGGCTGAGATCATGCCTGATCTAGCCGGCCTCAATGATGTCACGAACGGTACCCCTCCATGCGTGACGATTGGCGGTAACGGATCTGGAGAGTTCCTCCTAGTCTCTTCTCCAGCGACGGAGACCGAAGATAGGTCCAAGAACCGTTTCCATGTGTTGACGGACAGTGTTGAGCCAAGTCTTCAGTTGTCCTCCTCTTCGACGCTTCCAGGCGGGCTGCGGCGCCAGGTCGAGGGCAGCATAGAATAGCCCGTGGGGCGGACGACGGAGAACGGGCCAAAGCCACCTCAGTCACCTTTCTTGAATGGCCTGAGATATCTTCGCGATACGATCGCAACGAGTGCGGATGGTCTCATTCGAGATGAAGTCGGTAGACCTAACTCGCAGGATGGTCCTGCTACTTGAAGAAGTACACTGCGTCAAATACCTTGGGGCGAGACTGCTCCCGAATGGGCAGAGCAAGGACGGCGCTCGGTTTTCTCAATCCTTGTCTTTGTCGATAATGCTCATCTGTATAAAATACACTGTTCACTTTCGTACTGTAAAGGCCCCCATATACTGACATGGAACGGTTCACCAGTCAGAAGTAAGGGACGTTTAAAGCCAGTCCACTCTCCCACGGCAACACCGAGGCATCCGAAAACCTCAGTATGAAAACGAGGGTAACGACTAAAACCCGTTTCCAGGT